ATGATAGGAGTGAATAATGAAGATTGAAAAATGTTGTCTCAAACGCCATATTTCTCATTAGATTTGCACCGCTCAGTCCTCTATCGCTAATTCGTTGACATGCGCAAGTTCTTGTTTGAAAAAGCGAACTTGGTGGCTCAAATTTGAGAGTAGTGCTGTTGGGCAACCTGATGATCCAGCGCTTATAATAACGTGGAGTAAACGGCTATCAGTTCATTATCGAAATGTTATCTAAAATGCAAAATTTCTAAACATCCTATTCTTATTGATGCTACTGTGAGTAATCAGTAAAGATTCGGTCGACGCTGATCCGTCTACAGAAAGACTCGCTTGAGTCTTAAGCTTTGAGCACGACTCCAAGCAGTAGCTGCCGTAAGCTCGTTTCAAATTCACAACAGTTTCAAGAGCTAAAACAAGAATCATACGAAACTTGTCAAAAAAGTGTTCCTGAAAGTTCCGATAGCGATCATTATCGGCTTCTACTCACATTTTACCCAGTTTTCCATGCACCTTTTTCAGCGAACGCCAATTCCGCAAATTCGACGACTACTCGAGGCATTGGCTTATAATGAACATTGTGAACGACTATCACTAGCGAATATGGGTCTTTACGACAATGATGTTGCAGTGAGTAATTTATCAAGTTTGAATTGAAAAAAGAGGAGCTGATATGTATATTGGGTTGTCCCATAGTTCCTGCCCGATTTTTGATCAAAAATAAGGTCATTGCGAAATATGTATATTGGTATGTCAAAGAGTGCATCTAGACCGTTAGCCAGGACTTTGGAAGGTCAAACCCGCATCGGAGATAACTGAGTAGAAGTCGAAATAGATCAGTGACAATAACGAACGATTATGCTTTATGATCCTCAAATAGACGCTGTTGCAAGGAGGACACTAGAGAAGATCAGCGCTGTGTTTGGCTCAGTCTCTGCTACTGATCGGTCACTGAGCTAGAGGTTCGGTCGCAATGGCAAAGACAATACGAGCTGTGAAAATCAGCCTCATCCTGGGCCTCCACTCACTTTCGATGAGGACCCCTTGCGCCATGGATTGGAAGTGCACACGGACGCTACTACCAGGGTATTGTAGCAGACACCTGGGCGCAGCCGATGCACCAGCACACGCCATCAGGATGGAAGTGGGCAGCAGCAGAATGAAGACTTGATGGAAACCATATGCACCGACCAGCCATGACCGAGAAGCAGGTCTGACCCTCTGGGGAATTTCATTCTGTGACCTCAATAGCAGAGCGTTCCCTAGTTGATCACTAGTGGGGATGAGTCATGAGTTCACTACGACAACAACACGCAGCACGCCTGATGGCTACCTCGCAGCCAGCTCACAAAAGCCCAAACTCCGTGGTCAGAGAATATTGCTTTTGATTTGTTAGAGTGGGTCTCCCGTTTTCACAGTCGTTTTGCTATATACGGACAAGTATTGCGAATGCATCGTGGAACAGCTCCGGAGTTCGCAGCAGTAGTGGATGAGAACCGTTCAGGAAAATGAAGTAACTTAAATCAACTCAGTTGGATGAATTCCAACAAAAGCAGCTAAGTGCATGCCACGACTTGAAGAGACTGGAAGTGATTTAAGCAAAACCAGAAAACTCTAAAAAAACTTATACGAAAAACTAATACGATCACAGGCTACTGGACCTTAAATTTTCTTTTCAGGTCTTATTGCCGGTAATTGAAATGAATACTGCCTTGAGGAAACTAAATCTGGAAACAAATTATTCTGAGCGGTGACTTCTTCGCAAAACTTTTCCGAGCGGCGCTCGTTAATCAGACTCTTGAAGAAGTAAAAGCTGTGAATCAGGTCTGTTTCCTTTTTTACAGTTTGAGCGCTAATATTCTGAAATACTCTTCCCATGATCGTAAAGAATTCTGTTGCCAAATATTGTCAATATTTGTTGAATGTTTCCTTTTCCGTTATATCATATAGTCAAGTTGATTTTTTTTGCAACTCGAGTTATTTTTCAGGGTGTTTCTTTCGCAACCCTAGCCGAAAAGGAGATCATCGAGTGTATCGTAGCAAACACTGGATTACTCAAGGTATGGTGCTTCATTGAGCTTACTTAGCTGCATTCTTTCAGAAAAGCTCTAAGGTCCACTTCTAAAATATTCTCCTTTCGAAAGCTGCCTTTCTTATAATTGAGTTGCTTCAGTCCTCTGAAAATCTTTCCTGATGGCTCCTCTTCGTGCGCGCGCAAAATCAATACCCACCTTTGAACACATCGCTCAAAAAACGGCTCAAGTGCAGCCCGTCCTACAGTTTCTGTTACTGCTCTATCATAGTGGGAACATCTCCAGATTTTCTGTTTAGATCTCGGTGAATCTCCGACTTCCCGAAGGACGACACAAAGTTGAAAATGCGACGTTGAGAAACGGCGAATACAGTGCGTTTTGTTCCTGCTTACGTTTACTGAGCTTTCTTATAAACCTTGAAAAATGCTTTGTTCAGAGCGAGTTCTGCGTCGCGAGGCGGCAAGGAAGGCCGCATGGGAGGCCGAGGAGCTGGCGAAGAATCCCGTGGTGAGGCCTTGAACTTTCACCCCCGCTTCATCCTCCCTTCAATCCATATCTACCCTTACACTCATTGACATACAGACGCGTACTCTCTTGAGCTTGCAATCCATGTTTTCTTGTTAAACAGCCCATACAGAACCGAGTGCCATTGATGAAAGGCTGGACGTGCGTAGCTTTGCTGCGCGCCATTTTCAGAGGCAAGACTATTCGTGGTAGGGGTATTTGATTCTGTGCTCATTCAACCCAATCCCTAGTCTAGGCAAAAAGCGTAACCTGCTCATTTTATGGGACCATCGAATTGAAGAACAATCTCACTGATTAGAGTTCTCGGCTCAATCTTGCGAAAATTCTTCTTTCTGGTTCTCCTTTATTCGCTGACATGAACTGGTGGAGCCGCGCCTTCGCCACTAGGCCGATGTCAGACTTTGCGAATCGCGCGATTCGCTACTGGCGATTCGTGCGATTGGTCGCGTTGCGGTACCAGCCAATTAAGTGATTCACTGGCCGCGACGCGACCGCATACGCTAGCGAATCGCTCGAATGGCAAAGTCTGACATCGGCCTTAAGCCGGACAATGCGCAGCACCATTGCACCAAGGTGGACCTCGTTTCTGAATGGGCTTTATGTCTTAAAATCAATTTAGAGTCAGCTTCCACAGAGGCTGACCTTTTTCCCAGAACCTTATGAACTCCTTTGTGTGAATGTCACTTGTCGTTTTTCTAGCCGAAACTCCCTAAGGAGCCTAAACCGGCGCCTAAAAAACCAGCCGCCGCCGCCGCCACCGCCGCAGCTAAGACTCCGGCAAAGGTGCGTTCATAGTAGAATCGCATGCGCGTTACTGTCTGTACTAGTATATACTAAATTAGTCGTTCTTGATAATTAGTTGATTTTCGTGCGAATAGGTTCTCTCGGTTGTGTTTCTGTGTCCGGTGTCTGTGATCGCGTGTGTATATGTCTGTGCGTGTGTGTATCGAAAGATAAAGCTCGTCCTGATAGTCCATTCGTTGATTTTTATTTCTTTCTCTTAAAGCATGCCATCCTGATTTCTTCCATAGAGAATAACAACAGGTAGCAGATAGCGACATCTTCCACTTCACCGATTTGCCGTTCCTTTGGCTAACACTTCATCGAGACGGGCTCTTCTGCTCTCACACAGTCAAGCTGGAAGAGCCATTACCGAGGTTTTGCGAGCCGCTTCAGTTCAAACACATTAGTCGCATAGACTTCAGATAGAATCAGCTACAGTAGATAGAGAGTAGGCAAAGTCAGACGGCAGACTATGACTGCATTTGTTTAGGAGCCACTCGGTAAGGCTAAGGACGCTAAGGAAGCGGCTCCAAAATCGACACCAGCTGTCAAGAAACCTCCTCCATCCACCACTACTAAACCAGTCACATCACAAGTTGCTAATCCCACGGTGTCATCCACCGCTAAAGAACGAAATGCTTCATTAGTTGATAAAAAAGACACGGATAAGTGGCGGCAGCAGCGGCTTCTTCGGAAAAAGATAAAAAGCCAGCCGCTGCCCGAAAAAGGCGGAACCAGCCGCAAAATCGAAAACAGAGCTTGTGCCAAAGCTGCACCAACGACACCAAAGAAACGGAGGACGCTGTCAAGAAACCTGCCGCTGCCGCGCCAAAGAAGGCTGACACCGCAGCTGCAAAGACTTCTCCAGTTGCGCCAAAGAAGGTTACAGATGCTGTAAAGCCCAAGGAAGAACGCGCTACACCTAGGCCCATGAAACCGTCTGAGATTAAGGCTAAACAGAAGGAACAGTCGATAGCACTCAAACCGTCGGAGATAAGAGCTAAGGAGAAGGAGCAGTCGATAGCCTCAAAGAAGAAGGAGGCCGAACCAGAAGAAAAGAAGCCAACATCTATAAAAGTTGCTGCGCTATCTAGGAAATCAAACGGTGACGCAGCTTCTGAGAAGGAGGGTGCTGGGCAAGAGCGTCTCAAGAAGGCGAGAGATGCAGCAAAGAAGGTGGACGATCAGAAAGCTGAGTCTCCAAAGACACCGACGAAACCGGCATCGAAGTTGAAGAAGGCGGACGGCGACGCTAAAGAGGGGAAGGAGAACGAAGCTGTTGAGAGACCAGAGAAACTGTTGTCAAAATCAAAGAAGTCAGTAAGCTTTGAAAAGGAAGAAAAGGAGGACAAAACGGCTGAGAACGGGCCCACTTCACCTGCAAAAACGCCGGAATCTAAGGCCAAAAAGCCAGCAACCACAGATAAAACCGAAAAGACGAAGGAAACGTCGGTTGAGAAGAAGTCCGAGACCCCCAAAAAGGTGTCGCCTCGCAAGAAATTGGCCTCCACAGAAGGGTCCAAGGAAGCAAATGGTGTACTGCCATCGGGAAGGAAGTCGTCCGAAGACGCTGATAAGGAGAAGAGTTCTCCAGTGGCTAAAAAGAAGCCGATCAAGAAAAGTACTGCACCACAAGCGGAAGCTGAGCCTGAAAAGTCCCCTGAGCACATCCCGGATGACTTCGACGACGAGACGCCTTTGAAGAGCACGAAGAAGCCGAGCGTTCTCGACGACACTCCGGCACTACCGAAACGGTCTTCACTTTATTCGAGGCGGCTATAGTGGAAGGGGCAGGATATCGGTTTCGCTCAGTCATCGTCGCTATCAGCAGCGTTCCATATGCGTGTATTGAAATGCTTGTGAGAAATATGCGTGTACACTACAACTATACAGTACACTCGGGGTAACATTTATCATATGCATATATATAGTGCATTTCTATCTTTGCGGATACTATGATGTCTAGTCATTGTGTTTTTACTGTACATAATAGCTGTATTGTTGTCTGTCTTGTAATGTATTGAATCGCTGTCACACAATCGCACACACACAACGTTTTCAGAGTCGTTGAAGATCGAATTTCACCCTGTATTTCTTGGCCTTTCGTTTCGTACGTATACATATTTTCACCTTCTTCTGTATCTTCATCGCTTAACAGCCAAATGTGTGCCCTTGATTTTTCGCGAATTCAGGATGAGGAGGCCCCTATAAAGAAGCCGTCCACCGACGAACCGATGGCCGTCTATAAACTCCGTCGTCCACGCCGTAACTCGCCAAAAGATGTCGAAAAACGAACGGTTGCCGCGTAGCTAGGCAGAGAGAGAGGGACTGTGTCTTCGAGGAAAACGCTTTCATCGCTACCAATTCCACGACTTCCCAGTACTAACTGTTGTTTGTGTATTACCGTAATCTTGTGGTGCAAGGAATCAGCGGAACCGTGAACAGCTTGCATACTGGGGGGTGGGTTTGAAACTGTGGTGAAGGAGCATCACTCTCAACAGAGCTTAGGCTGTCGTTCAGAGATGGTCGCTTAGGCGATTTTCCCTTTTGCCAGCCTTAAGGAAAAGGGAGAGGAAGTCATAACAGTTGATGGATGTACTGCTTACCCTTTTCACGGCAGGGTAGAATATATCGGTGGTCTAAACGCGTTTTTTACTCCGTAAGCGCTCGCAATGTCACTATTGTTTGGGGCCGGGGTCTGTGGCACGGGCAACAACCTCGCTCTAAATGGATGATCAGTTAATGGTCTCATTTCCCGTGCGTCCAATTTTCCTGCAATGTTGGTAGACTCAGATGCTCTGGGTTGGCGCTTTCGCGGTAGACGGATGTTCTTCTGCAACTTTCAAGTCAAAGCACTCTCACGACAAACTAGGCGAAAGTGCCATCGGGGAGGAATCTCCAAAGGAAACCACCGCCCTATTTTCTGGAGTTAATGTTCGGCGGTGTTCAAATGAATGGCAGTGTACAAAAAACCT